GTAATCTTGTATTTTTATTTTTGCATAGATTGTCTGGAATTTTGACCAATGCATTGTTATAAGTTTATTATCGGCTTTCCAGCGATGGTATATTTGCTAGACCGATCGGTGGGGAAAATTGTGAAAGCCTTGGAAGACAAAGGAATGCTGAAAAACTCGATCATTGTCTTCTCCACTGACAATGGGGGTCCTGCCGGAGGAATAAATCGGAATGCAGCTTCCAATTGGCCATTACGAGGGGTGAGTGATGGGTTCCACTTTTTCCTTTCTACCTGTTCATCGTTTCTTTCTTGGCGCGTACATTTCGCTAAATTTATTCAATTTGGATGATCTGCGCAGACGAAAGCAACGGGTTGGGAAGGAGGGGTTCGAGGCGTTGGGTTCATTTGGAGTCCCTGGTTGAAGTCGAGTGGCCGAGTTTCGAATCAACTCATGCACATGGTTGACTGGTTGCCCACTTTGTTTTCTGCTGCTGGTCTGTGTTCAATTATATTATCCTGTACTTCTGTTTATTTATTTTTCTTTGGGAAGGGCAGAGTTTTGGCATTATTGGTTCCATTATCTATTCCAAAGATTTTTATTTTCGAGTTTTAAGTTCTGTCTCGATTCAGTTTTTTTTTATATAAAACGACGTCTTTGAAGGATAGGCAGACGAGAAATTCGTTGAGTATCTAAAACAGTGGAAATGTCAGTAAATTTAAAGATGCACCTTTTATAAAAAGACTTTCCTTAAGCACAGCATTAGACGCACAAACTTAAACATAAAAGATATCCACCTGGCAACTCAAACAACCCTCCAGTGGACGGTATTGATATGACCCGTCGAAATAGGCTTCTGTGAGGCAGAGGTTCTTTTCTCTAGGAGAACCTAGAACTAGGATAAGAACCCTTTAGACGGTAGTCTCAACCTTTGACCTTTGAACATTTACCATGCGTTTTTTTTTACCTCGGGAATTCAGAGATAACAAGGTTGTTGAATTGTAGAGCAGTCAAAAGTTGTCTTGCGTTTCTTTTACTGATATGGGTACGCTTCGTTTTGAAGTTTTATTCTCTTTTATCTTTTGTTACCACCAGCTTCTTCAGATGTGATATTTTGGCAGAAAAGTGTTTTTTATCGTTTCGAAGAATTTATCAAACGTTTTTTGAAAAATGTACATAAATATATGATTTCCTGCGAAATTTACGTTCCATTTTTTGAGTCAGAATCCTCCAATTAAATATACGAAACATCAGTGACAAAGCTTGAATTAATCCTCTTCTCAGTCGCTCATGGTTTTGTTAAATTGCACTTTGACTCGGACAAATTCTTGTGCAACCATTACCATTTAGGAAATTATTTAACGGAATCAAAGTACTGTACTCGTATTCAGCCTCGACATCAGTAAATTGCTTTGGAAAATAACTTCCAGATCAAGGACATAATTACTGTTGTATTTCAAATATTGCAAATATTTGTTAGTACTGTGCAGTACTTGAACTTCCTCCAAACTCACAGAAATGCAGCTGTGGTCAGGAAACAATTGAATATTTGCCGAGGGGAGCACGAAACGGAACAAAAAAGTACTCAGACATGAACGAAAATTATTGAAAATTCATCAACGCAAACCACCTGATTCGTGACACACCTTTTTTCATTCGTGAAGCGTGAATAATTGACATTGAATTTTTTTTACCTCGTCCTAGTAATTGAAAATTTTATTGAATCCCCGACCTCCTGCGCACATTATTCATGCCTTAAATTTTTTATGGGCTCGTGTCTATCTACCGGGATTTTTAAATTTTCAGGCACGTGGGAAAATGGGACATACGACACGTGGTTTGGCCCCTCGGGTCACGAGGACAAGTCCTACTACGAAATCACGACTTTGAAATGTTCTTCGAATTCATCGGACAAATACTGCTCTAATCAGACGCCGAACAAACAATCCTTTCGAAACTTCATGAAAACCGGCGTCAAAAGAGGAAACGGGAAAACATTTCCGATGAGTCGCAAGGGAACCGTTCGTCCAATGTTGGACATTCGTCGACTGACTCGTCATCACCAAAATCCTAAAAGGTTTTCAGCAAAACGTGATCCTCGTTTAGTTGTCGCTGTCGATTGCGGTGAGAAGCCTCTGAATGCGTCGACGAATTGCGTACCGACGGAAAGCCCGTGTTTGTTTGACCTGGCGTCGGATCCGTGCGAATACAATAATTTGGCGAGTCAATATCCGGGAGTCGTGGATGAGTTGTGGAGGAAGTTGATGGCATATCAAGCAGCGAGTGTTGAGCCCATTAACACACCGTCGGATCCGCTAGCAAATCCCAAGTACTGGGGTTACTTTTGGAGTAACTGGAAAGATTTCTCGTGAATTTGTGCAGTTTTTGTGTGTTGATGTGTTCTTCCAGAAGCAGGGAATATGAATGTGGTTATCTTGTCGTTTTCTACAATTCGTGCTTCTTCCTGACGGTGTTACATATTCGTGAGAGTGACATCTTGTGAGACAATCTATAAACTGTGGGAGCGAGGATGTTGTTACGCTGTGAAGGTGACTCGAAAAGTGGCTCCAGCAAATTTTTTTTTCATTCTGGCCCTCTGTATTGTACAGTACAGTATTGGGCATGCATTGAATTGTTGTTCAGGATATTAAAACGCCTCTAGAAAGTTTTTAAAAAATACATCACCAAGTTTACCTGCATTTGGATTTTTAATCCAAAATTTTTACCAGTGGTTTCTCCAAGTTTCTTCTCACCATGTTTGAATTCCCATACTGAGTATTTTGTGTATACAAGTTTTTCGTACTGTGCAGGTCTTCCATTTAGGTATGATTAATTACTGTAAAATCGCATTATAACAAATCCTTTGGCCAATGAGTAGAACCTATGTAAATACAGAATTGTTAATAAGATACTTGAATATGCGATTATGGCTTTTTTACTATAGGAACCAAAAAATTCTTCTGAACAGTAATTTGTTTTAGTGAGATCCATTGTAATGGGATTACAGTGTAAACGTAATAGCTAATCACTTATTTTATATTGAAATAATATTGAAAATTTGGCTATACAGCAACTTCAATTGTTATGGACAAGTGCGTGTGCTGCAGTTGAATATCTGAAGTCGTATTGTAATATCCAAAATCACCCCAAATTGATACGTTTAAGAAAAAAATCAATTACACAAGAAAATTAATCCATTATCGGTAATATTCTTGTATTTTCGTTGATCATTCGAGTTGTGTGTCCATGAAAAATAGTGAAAAAGAATCAATACCCGATGTGAATCAATAGTTTATGAAATGATTGTCATTAGACTCAATATTATCTCCCGTGGAATCGATTTTCTTGTTGCTTCCGACGGCAAATTTTGAATTTTGTGAATGTGTCATCTGCCCAATTTCTTGATCTTCATTTTTTGTCAATTCTGTTTTCCCGAGTCGACGAAGAATCCAAGTCCAAGCTTTGAGAGACTTCGGATGAACCGTAGTTTCGTTCAACTTCTCCATCGGGAATCCACCTGGAATAAAATTGTTAATGCATGTGTTGTGGATGCAAGTGATTGTCAAAACCAACAAGAAGAATTTAATACCTGTTTTTTCAAATGCGAGACGCAAATTTTCTGGACAATTTAGTTGTCCAAGTCAAATGAAAATTATTTTTTGGATAATTGGGTTCTCAGATGAAAATTGACTACCACAACGAAAATCAACCAAAATTCCATTATTTTCCTTGAAAATTACTCAGCTGACAATTTTTCTGCATGGCAAAAATTTTCAGCCGAAATGCGTGCATTTGAGGAATTTGCAAGTCTAAAATTTGAGTTTTTACAATTTTTACAAATACTTCTGAGCATTTCGTCAAATTAACTAAAATTCCTTGCAGAAAAATATTAGTTTTGCGGAATATCTTTTAAAGACGTCTCAAAACTAAACTTTTTGAAATTTTCAGGCAATTCTTTTCAAGTTCTCACCTGTGAGAAAGCTCGCGACAATTGTCACAATTATCGTGACGCTCATGCCCAGTGGGAAGTACATGAGGTACGAAAAACCATAAATGCTCCTTCTGAAAAAGGTACAGTAATGGAAGCAACAATTATTGGCATAATTTTTTCTCCAACTTCAACGCAGAAATGTTCTACCTGAGATCGTCGTTTGCTGTAGGATCTAATGCCACAGCATTAGTCACATTGAGCATGAAGGATTCTGAGAAGATGCTTGTGGGTGAATCACACATTTCCACAGAAGTTGGAAGGGATGGTTCGGGTGGAATGTTGCTGATCCAGGCGCCAATTGCCAACCAGGCCACAAATACCATTCCAGATAACAACCCAGCTAATCCTCCCTGATGTATTAGCAAATCAATAAATACAGCCAACCCCTGTGCAATGGACTAGTCTGTTATGTGAAAAGTCTGTAATGCAAATTTGATTTTCCTATATGATTACACTTGTGCAAAACAAGTTCAATCAAGACCAAAAGAACTGAAAAATTCAACACACACACATTCATAGCAACAATAATGACATTCTATAAAATCTATATTAAAATTAAGTTGGAAAGCCGCAAGGGGAGACCTGAGGGACTGATGTCCACTGGTGGTGTGCACTTCTACAGACTGAAGTTGGTTATGCAGATTTGTCTGTTATGTGAGAGGAAAAACTGCCTTCAGAGGCAGTCTGTTGTGCGGGGGTCAACTATGTCTCAGTTCTTGGATCACGTTCACATGTAACACATTACTTCACAAAAGCAGAAACAAGACTTCAATATAGGTGTACCTCATGGTATGAATGAATGCACAATGATTAGTGCAAACATCATGTTCTTTATACTAATATTGGTCTTTAAATGAATCAGATATTTATACAGGAGGACTATCCACAACAAAATCCAAGGGACCGGAAGAATTCTTTGCTGTGAGAATTTCTTTCTTGTTTTATTCTCAGTCATATGAAGAACAGAATTTCTCACTCTGGTGAGGAAATTGCTCTTTTGAGAATTCTCTAAATGAATGTTCAATACTGACCCAATCATTGACAAATGGCAGGAACATGGCACAGAGGAAGATGCCAAATAATGGTCCTTGAGTCATTCCAGTGAATATTCCATTGATTTGGATCACTCCAAAATCAGGCATCCCAGCAACGATTAAGGATAAACCTACAGATATTCCTCCAAAGGCAAATCCTGTGAAAATGGTAAATTCATTCACTAAAATATTGAAATACACATGTTCCACAAAAAAGGCTCATTTGTAGCATTGAACTCTGACTCTGTGGCTGAAGGTTTTGAGGAGCAAAAAAAATCTGTTCAATTTTGTAAATTTATGAGAATAAAGGACCGGAACAAGTGAACAAGCCTTTTTGAAAAGCTTGTTCAAAATTTCTTGAAAACCTTGTTCATCCGTTTCCTCCCAATTTTGGACTCTTGTGTACAATAAAAAATAATCCCAGTATTGCACACATTTCTATCTTGATTGGTAAAATATTTGAAGTTCTTACCAAGAGCTTTGATGAGAAGTTCCCCATGTTTTTTGGACAACTTTTTCCCAATTTTTGTTTGCCTCACTCCATCCTCCCAAGTAACAGCTGCCAATGAATTCAGACCTGAAGATAAGGTGCTAGAATTCACAAAGTTATAAATTGTATTAGAACTTGACAATACAATTATAGAAATTCCAATTTAATATTTTTGAAAAATTTTGCACAAAATTATGCATAGAAATACATTTTTGATTATGATTAGCTGGTTTCCCTGTTGTTCAAAATTCCTCAAAAACCTTTAAAAATTTTTCTTGAAAAAACTCGCTTACAGTTTTTTCAAGATAAAATCTTGAGAAAACTGAATTTGGAAGGAATTCAGGAGAAGATTAAACCCCTAAACCATATTTTACCTCACAACTATAGTTCATCAGCATGCAATGGTTTCATTTGAGCAATGTTCACTTTAAAATGGGAAAGATTTGGTTCATTTCTAAAATCCTGAAAGTTTATTGTGTTAGAAATGTAGTTAATCTGGCATTTGTAGTTTTTCTAAACATGTTACAATACAAGGGTTCTTCTGTATTCATTGCCAAATTTTGAATTGGAATGAAAAATATCTACCAAACAAGATCAGCATAATAATTAAGAAACAAAATCATCATCTATGAATTGCAATTTTCCTCAAACTGATGTAATTTGTTCTGCTTGTAAGAATTTCACTGTATTTCACTTTGAATGAATTGTACTACATTTTCTGCTTACAGTTGATACATTGCTTCTTTGAATGTTCAAAAACAAGAATTATAATGTAAGAAAAATGATAAGTATGAAGATACGTACCTGAGTGAACCACTAAGAAGAGCTGCAATGAAAATTCCAGGAACTCCAGGATATGAGTGCAAAGTGTCCATGACATAATAAGGCATGATCTGAAAATGAGTTACATGGAGATATTTTATGCTGAGGATACAGTACAATAATCAATTAATCATATACAATATCCTCACTTGATCCCGTTTCTTGACATAACCAGCTTTCAAGGGGTCGCAAAATGCATAATTGGCAAAAACAACCAGCCCACAGAAGGATGCCAGCAACCACAGAACTGTTGATCCAGTCAGATTGTAAAGCACTGTCCTGCAAATAGCATATTTCAGTTTACAGCAATTTTATGTTTCATTTGCAAAGCTGAATTACGTATTATTGAAGGAAAAAACCCATGTCCTTGAAATTGTCCTTCATGCTGGTCTAATAATTCAAAAGCTTTCCTGGTCCCTGACACACCCTGATTTTCATCACTTGCAACCCAGTTGCAATTCCAAGCTGATCTGTGAGATGAACTTATTCACAAAGACCAAAATAAGTACAAAATGAAAGTAAAATAAAATAGGAAACAAAATCCGCCGGGGAACACAGCAGGGGATAACTGAGTTATCTCAGAAAGAGAAATGATAAATGTATTTCACAAGGATAATAACTGAATACTCAAATCAATAAGGACCAAAATTAGTTAGAGAATCTCAAGACAACAAATTCACACTCAGGAAGAAATTGATGTGCATGCTGCAAGACACACAAGGAGACTGTAATAAAATGGGGCAAAAGAAAATGGACAAGAAGGTTTTGAATTGCGCAATGGGGGAAATCCAGAAGGGATTTTCCAGTTGCAGGAAATTATTATATTAATTTGCGTATCATCTAAATTATGGGACAACATTAGCTATTGTTGTATATTCCCTCAAGTGGGACAACTATACCTTACATGATCTTGAAGCTATTTTTGTGCCTTCAAAGCAACCCTGAAACTCAAATCTTTTGTCAAAATGTTTCTGTTGTGAATTTACCAAACTTGAAAATGTTTCAACTTCAGACTAGGATTTACAAAGTCCCAGCTACAGCCTGGCTATTTAGTTGCAATAATTTATTTCTTGCTTCCAGACATCTGTAATTAAATCACTTTTGTCCATAAAATCTTAATTCATTCTTTCAAATTCTTTCTTCAAGCTTATTTTAACACGTTTTTATTAACTTGCTTTCTTGTCCGTTTGTTTGTCCGGATCAAATTTTGCAACTCAATTTATAGATGCGCACCACGTTTAAGGTTATTTTTTTTTTTTTGAAAACGTGGTTTTTTAGATTAATTTTTTAATCTACTAAATTCTTGTCCTTCAACTTTGTGGGACAGATTTAATTTCTCATACAATATTCAATGCTGATTTTTGTGGAAAGATTATAACCATACAGTAAATTATAAGTGTTCAACTTACCTTCTTGCATCAGTCAAACTTTTCAGGCTTGTGTATCTTTGAACTGAAGGCTGGCTGATCCCGTGTGAAAAGCACCAAGCGAAACAGAAATAGAAAACCAGTTTCCAAAAAGTGTTTCTC